CAAAAGAACGGGGATGATGCCTCATTGGGACGGGGTTGGGACGGGGTTCCGTGCGACGTCGTGTGAACACACAGGAAAAAATCCCGCAATAGGACGGGATTGGGTGTGGATTCTTTCTGCTTTAGGCCCCGTGTGATAACGTCCAGTGTCATAGTTAAAGCATTTCCTTTAAAATAAGTTTCATTTTGAGAATACAGTAAAAAAAAAAATCTCCCTGTGTTCTCTCTTCATCTGTTTTCTCTGGTTGACTCTTTTGAACAGATCTGTTCATCTGTTTTCTCTCTGAAGATGCTAGCCACAGATGCTGGCGAAACGTCAGAAAGAAACTCTTCTAGAACATGGTCACACAGCCCGAAAAACCCACAAAAACTATGTTCATACAGAATTCATCAGAACCCATGTAGGATTTGAAATAGCCTTCTCCAGTCTGATGTACTGCAGTGCAATTCCCATCACCCACAGCCAACATGGCAAATATACCCATCATATCTGGTAGGTACTCCTTTTATAGATACCAGTGAAGCAGCTTATATATAACTGGGCACTGCCTTCTACTCTCTCACTCCATGGATTCTAAAGCTTCTAAGTCACCTTTGCTGCTCACTAGAAGTAGTTTGGGATAATGGTCTCAGAAATCACTTTCTACCACCATCAGTTGTCCTCTTTTTCACTGCTTCTCTCCCTTCCCCACCCCTGCAATTCCAGGATGCCTCAACTGGGTAAAACTGGGATGAGCACCAGCCCTATCTCTTAAGGAAATTGCATTTAAAATAATGCCTCTCAAATCGAGAGTGGGCTGCAGATTGAAGGAGGGCATGGGAAAATGCCTTCCCATGGGCCCTCTTTCATTGTCATTAGGACGTATCTGATCCATTTCCTCCAGCAATGCTGGTATCTCAGTGTCACACATATTTGGGAAATGTTCCAGAACACAATGTCCCTTCCCTTTGAAAGGTTTCATATACAACTGAACCAAATGAAAACCAATCTAGAGGAAAACTTGTAGGTAAAAGATTCCAAAAAGAGGTTCTGAAGATCACTTGCCCATAATCATTTAGGGCAACTTTAAAACTTGGAGGATTTACAAAAGTGGGTTTACAAGTGTTTACCACTCATGTTTCCAAACTAGGGAGTGCTTCCTTGCAGTTGTTGTTGCTGTTTTGTGCCTTCAAGTGGACTCCAACTTATGGTAACCTGTCATAGAGTTTGGCAGAACTTGGAGGATTTACAAAAGGAGGGCTGAGAGCGTATGACATGTCCATGGTCACACAGTGGGTTTGTTGCAATGGCGTGGTTAGATTTCAAACCCTGGTCCCCCAGAATCTTAGTCTAACACTTAAACCACTATGCCAGAGGTGGGCATGGAAGACTAGGGAGCCACATTAGCCTTCCAGGAGACCTTGGAGGGTTGCACCACAGAACTAATCATTTTTGTCCCCAAATACTCTCTGAAACATGGGGGTACATGTGGGGAGCATTATTGGACCACTAGAGGGCTTTTTGGAACGTTTTGAAGCAAGGAATCTTTGAACCCTGGGAGGGTCCAATGGGGCTCCAAATATGATGGAAGTGCCCTCTACAACCCCTAGAAATCATTTTGGGCATTCGGGATCAAGAATTTTTTTTTTGACCCCGTGGATCCTATGTGGGGGCACTTTGCCCATCGCTGCAATACCCCATGCTGTCCAAGGCTTCTTTTTATACAATTTGTTGTTGTTAATTGCCATCAAGTTGGTTTCAACATATGGCGACACCATGAATGAGATATTTCCAGATCACTCTGATTAACAGTCTTGCTCAGGTCTAGCAAACACAGGGCTGTTACTTACTTGGTAGAATGAATCCACCTGTAATGCAGCCTTCCTGTCCTCCTACTGCCTTCCATTTTGCCAAGTTTTATCATCTCCTCTACTGAGTCATGTTCTCTCATGATTTGTTCAAAGTATGGTAGCCTCAGATTTGTCAGTTTGGCTTCTAGGGAGAGTTTGGGCTTGATTTGTTCTCAGATCCCCTGACACCACCTCATTCAAAGAATTATACACGGTGTTAGCGGAAGTCCTCCATTTTTATCATATATTTTAGCCATATGGAATTCCCTATGACGCCAGCCTGACCCTTGGGAGATAGCAGCCATAATCCCCTAGATGTGAAGTCATGTAGGCAAGATAAGACCACTAAGGATTTCCTGGACAAGCAGATTCTGGGAGTTGCCCTTGGGAATATCCCATTATGTTGGGAAACATACC